CCCAGCCGTGGCCTCCCCTGGGCTGAGCAGAGGGGCAGGGTCCCCTTCCCGCCGCGGCTGCCCAGGCTCTTCCCAGCACATCCCAGGTGGCCACCAGGGAACATTGCTGGCCCGTGGGCACCTTGCTGGCCCCCAGGTCCTTCTCCGCAGAGCTGCTCCCGGCAGGTCCCTCCATCCCGGTGCCAGGCGTTACTGCTCCCCGGTTCCTCTCCTGCCTCAGTGGCACCTCCTGGGGTTCCTGTGTGCCCAGCTCTGTGGGTGGCAGTTCAGCCCTCGGGGGTGGCAGCCCTTCCTGGCGCCTTGGGATCATCAGCCGGGGTGGCGAGGAGGCCTCCAGCAGATTCTGGGGTCCGTTAGTGCTTCAGTGCTCAAACTGAAGCATTTGGGCTTTTCTTTTTGTTTTTTTTTCTCCATAATGCTGAGCCCCAAATGAAATATATTCTTGGCCCATATAGAACTTGGCCCCACAATTCTAGTAGGGCAGCCAAGAGCCTCCCTGTGTGAAGGTTGTGCCCCGATTTGCTTGCAAAGCCCTCAGGAGAGCGCGGGGCAGCGCTGCAGCCCCTCGATCCCGAGCAGGCGCCGCGGACGCTGCTCTTCCCGTCCTGCTGCTCGCGTTATCCCGTGGGAATGACGAGATAAACGTCTGTGCGCGCGTCGCGAGCCGTGGGAGCCGGTTCGTCGGGACAGCGCGGGCGGAGGAGCGGCTCGTCTCGCTTCCCGATGCGCCCGGCTCTGCCCGACGCTCCTCCATCCCGGCTCCCTTGGCGCTGCGCTCCATGGGTTCCCTCCGGGTTCGGTAGCGTCCCTCTCCCCGGGAAGCTTTATCCAGAGGCCGAGCAGCGACTTCCAACCGTCCGTTTGATGCTGCTGCCCTTGCCGGGCGCGCTGGCAGCGTGCCCGCAGCTGCTGTGACGGCTCCGAGGGAGCATCGGGAAGCGGGAGCGGCCGCCCGGGTTCCAGGCGGTCCCCGCCCTGCGGCCGCCTGGAAGCTGCGGGGCCTGGGGAGCAGGTCTCCGTTTCCCCATCCCTTCTTGCTCATCTGCTTGTCCGAAGCCACTTGCAATTTCCGAGTCATTTGGCTTCAACACCTCCCAGTCAGGCAGTGCTAGGAAGGCCAGTGATTTCCTTCCAGAAATTCATGAACGTTTAGAACCTTCCATCCTCTGCCAAGCGACACGTGCAGCTCCGTGTTGCTGCTGCTCTTGTTCCTCGCTTCTGTGGTGAGCACGGTTATCCCAGCGGGATCCCGTCGATGGTGGCAGCTCTTTGCAGCTCCTGCGCTCGAGCCGGTCCTGCGAAAGGTTGAGTTAGGTTCTCTGCTCCTGCCTGTCAGTGCTCCCAGCGCTGCTGGAATCCAGCGCCAAAGCTGGGATTTTGGATAGCTGCTTTCAGCTCGCGCTCCCTCGCGCTCCCGGTTCTTGCTGCTCCCCGGCGCTGCCCTCGAGGAGGCCGCTCTTGTGCTCCATGTCCTCGCAGAGGCTGTCACCGAGGGGCTGTCCCCGTCACCGCTGTCATTGCGCCGTGCGCCACTGCTCTGCGTTTCGTCACGAATACCCGTGTCTTCCTTAAAACCCTTCTCGGTCTGTCCCTCCGTGTGCTTTCTCGCGCTCTCGTGTGGGTTTCGCGTGGTGGGAGCTGCCGGGGAAGGGTGTTTGTTCGTGGCGTTGCGGGTCGGCGCTGCGGCTGCTGCGCGCGGCGCTCGCGCTCGGCCGTCGCGCCCGTTCCCGCCGCGTGTCGCTGGCGGTTCTGCAGGAAGCCCCGTTTGCAGCCTGGCCTTTCCGCTGCCCTCACGGGCTACACTGGCCTTTGGGAAGTCTTCAGAATGTTTTCATGTTTTCCGTTTTTTTAATGAGTTGTAGGTGGTTTTTAGCAAGATTCAAAAAAAATCAAGAGCTGGTGCTCCCCCAGGAACAGTCAGAAATGCACAAAATGCCAAGTTGTGTTGGCTGAGCCATAAAATATGAACATAAAATCTGAACTCTCGTGTCTGCTTGCAAGGCTGCCGCAGGAAATGCAGCTCATGCAATGGGCTGGGCGCACGGGACGTGCTCTCGGGGAGGATAAGGCACGCTCCGGAGGGAAGCGGTTGTTCTCAGCCTGATCAGGAGCAACGTTGTGACTCGAGCTGCTTGTCTCTTGTCTCTTTTGCAGTTGGTGTATCCCTACGACTTCAGATTAACGGAAAAAGAGGTAACACCCCTTGCTCTTCTCGGCTTTTGAAGACACTGCGCAGTGGTGAGGTGGGCTTTTTTTTACTGTGTGTTTTGCTTTGTTGCAGAAAACCAGTATCTGCTACTTGTCCTTCCCCGACTCGTACTCAGGTAGGTCGCGAGCCCTCGTGGCGGCCGCGACGGGCTGGCCCGGGGCGAGGGGCCGCCCGCGGCCTCCGTCCTTCTGCTCAGCTCTGGCTGCAGAATCTGCTCCGGGGGGTGCGGGGTCATTGGTCCCTGCTGGGGTGACACAAGAGGAGTCACGGAGGGCAACGTGCCCGACGTTGGCCGCTGCCAACTCTGGGAGCGCCTCTGTGCCTGTGAGCAGAGCGATCAGCAAGGAGAGGGCGAGGGGAAGAGGCTGCTTCTGCAGCAAAGCTGGTTCCAGAGTTTGTGTTTATAAATCAGAAGGTGGCAGTAAGAAGTAACATGGTAATTTATAACCAATATACCAATTTATAACCAAAACCTGCTTCGTAAAGACTGCGCCCTGTTGATTTTCTGCAACTTTTTCTGTTGAATTTCTACAACTAATTTTAGATGTTTTGAGAATGGAACTTTTACTAGTTTCTCAGCACTAGATTCACATTCAGGTTAATTGTTCGCCTTAATAAAGTCAATTATTTACTATCAGTAACATTTATGAAGGTGTGAAGATGTATGAATTAGGAAAATGTTAGTGATGTTTCCAGAGCCCGCGCAGGCGGGGGTCCCAGCTGTGCTGCCCAGCTCGCTCCTGCGCTGGGTTTGGGGGGTTCCTGGGCTGTCACTTTTCACCTTTGGTGTCTGTTTTTGTCAGTATTTCTGATTTAAACAGTTTCCAGCCTTCTTTTCGGAATTTGTTCTCAGCAGTTGCCATGGTCTCTGTCTCAGGTGGCCTGGGGGACACGCAGTTCAGCTTCCGCCTTCGCCAGTCTGGGGGACAGAGGGCCACTCACTACGAGGATGACGGCGAGTACAACAGAGAAGCGCCCCTGACGCTGCAGGTCGGTCGCCCTTCGGGCACTGCTCATCCCGACAGTAAGCAGCAGTGTTACTGGGGCTAAAATCCAGGTACACGCCTGGGTTCGTGCCTTCTGTGCATAGATACGCGAGCCTTTTCTGGCTCTGTTCTCAGACCATGGGAATAGTCTAAAAGGGGAAAAGCTTTCAGCACAGGAACACAATTCCACATTTTTACAAACAGCAGACTGTGTTTTTGAGCTGCTCCCAGCTACTCTGAGACACAAAACTGAGTCAGGAGGAGACCGGAATAGAGCAAGGGCCGTGTCTGGTTATGGGGAAGGATAAAGGTTAGAAACCTGAGGCCCTGCAGCAAGGTGTACAGCTACCCGTGTAGCTGTCCACGAGGCAAGAAAGGCTGTGGATGTCCTTGCCCGTGGTGAATAAGAGCCGTTGCACTCTTTTTGTTGAGGTGTGACAGTTCCTTTCATGGATTGCAGCCGGTGTGTGTGTAACCCCGCCAGGGCGCTCAGTGTGTTGCAAACCCCCTTGGTGTGCAGCACTCTGGCTGTCTGACCACACCGAACACCAGTACCGGGGTGTCCGTTGCTCTGCGCCATCGGTAGCAGCTGTGTGCCGCGTGCGGAGCGGCAGGGCTGGGGCAGGTGGTTGTGGACCTGCTCGGCGTCCTCGCCCTGCTCTCATAGCATCACAGAATGGTGAAGGTGGGAAGGGACCTCTAGGGATCACCCAGTCCAACCCCTGCACACGCAGGGTCACCTAGAGCACGTGGCACAGGACTGCGTCCAAGCGGGGTTGAAGATCTCCAGAGAAGGAGACTCCACAACCTCTCTGGGCAGCCTGTTCCAGGGCTCTGGCACCCTCACTGGGAAGGAATTTTTCCTTAAGTTCCTGTGGAACTTTTGGTGTTTCAGTTTGGGGCCGTTTCCTCTAGTTCTGTCAGTGGCCACCAGTGAAAAGAGGCCGCCCCATCCTCCTCACTGCCTCCCTTGAGGTACTTCTAGACACTGCTCAGGTCCCCTCTCAGCCTTCTCTTCTCCAGCTGAACAGGCCCAGCTCCCTCAGCCTCTCCTCACAGGGCAGATGTTCCAGGCCCCTGATCATCCTTGTGGCCCTGCGCTGGACTCTCTCCAGCAGCTCCACATCCCTCTTGTACACGAGGGCACCTGCTGCCTCATGGTCACGTTGTCGTCCAGTGTGACACCCAGGTCCCTCTCTGCAGAGCTGCTCTCCAGAAGGTCGGTCCCCAGCCTGTCCCGGTGTCTGGGGTTATTCCTCCCCGGGTGCAGGACCTTGCACTTGGCCTTGTTGAATTGCATGAGGTTTCTCTTGTCCAGTGTGTCCAGGTCCCTCTGGATGGCAGCGCAGCCCTCTGGGGTATCAGCTCCTCCTCCTCTCTGTCGGAGGCAGGAAGGCTGCCCGTGCGTTTACCCTTCTGAAGCCCTTTGAAACGCTTTAACCAGGGCACTGCCGAGGCGGAGCGGGAGGGTTTCCTTGTCTAAATCCTGCTGTGGAGCTTTTCCAGTTTGCGTCTCTCTTGTTTTGTAGCAGGCAGCGAAGGGAGGCTGCCTCGTGGATGTACCCGACTTCAAAAGAGTAACGCAGGCAAAACTGCTGGGTTCTGCTGTGGGGAAAATGGTGCTTGAAAAGGAAAAGCTGCCTTCATCTGTGGGCTCTCTGGTGCCTCAAAAAACGAAATTAAGGACGGTTTTGGTGTCAGGAGCTGAAGGCTATCCCTGCTCTTGATGTCTGTGGGAATTCAGAGGGTACAGAGGGTTTGAAATGATCCCTGGGGATTTGTGTCAAACTCTGCTGGCTTTCCGTGGCCTCCGAGGATCAGCATTCCCTGCGTGCCGCAGCCGTGGCCGCGAGGGAGGCGCGAGCGATGCTGCCGCGCGCAGGCCTCCCCGCTCGGTGCCGAGACCTCAGCGGGAAGGAACGCGGCCCTCGGAGCGGATCAGGAACCGGAGAGCCGGGATTAGCCCGCGGGCTTCGCCCAGTTGCTGCTGTTAGCAGAAACCTCGATTGACCCTGCAGAGGAAGGAGCCTGAAGGAGCTGCAGAAGGGACCCCGTGAAAGGCCCTTGAGGGGCCCTTGAGGTCTCTTTTTTGTGAGTTTAGTTGGTTGTATCTCCTTTCTCTGTTCCCGTGTGATAAACTCTGCCGGGTAGATGAGCTGGTAATTGGGTAATGGGTAATTTTAGAGAAGGAGGCTGTGTGGTAGCGAGAGGCAGGCCCCGTTTGCTCCGCTGCTCTCTAACTGCTCTTGGCCTCTCTTGCAGCGGGAGGCAGCCCATTACTTCGGCTACGTGTACTTCAGGCAAGTCAAGGACAGCTCAATGAAGAGGGGTTATTTTCAGAAGGTGCGTCCTGGAATCACATAGTTTGCTGCTCCCAAATGGTATGTAGCTGCAGAAAGGCACCTATCCTGAACTGTAAAATAGCACCGTTTCCTGCGTGACGACCGCGGTGTTTCTGTGGGGTCACGGAGAACAGGAACGTGGGGAAAGGAAGTTTCAAACAGCCCTGGATGCAGCCGCCGTGCCGTGTTCATCGCACGGGCAGTGAGCTGCAGTGTCTGCATTGTGGCACCCTCAAGTAGTTTAGCAAACTCAATGTAGTCACAGATGCGAGGTAATATACTTCATCATTGCGGTTTCTGCTAGGTGTAACCTTAACTCTACCCTTTTTATTGTGTTATATCATGTTAGTAGCCATGTGGGGTAGGTTTCCTGCTGGACAGATCACTGTTAACTAGTGGCAGTGACCCTGCTCACTGCTGTTACCACATCCCCTGTCCTTTGTGCAAACATAGCCTACTAGTAAGCAGTGTGGGTGTGTGAAGTGCTAGAAATGATCGCGACAGGGCAGCTCTGACTCCTGAATCCGTGTTTTCCAGTCTTTGGTGCTGGTGTCACGCCTCCCATACGTGAACTTGTTCCAGTCATTGCTGCAGCTGATTGCTCCAGAATACTTTGACAAGCTGGAGCCGTGCTTGGAGGCAGGTGAGCAGCTCGGCCTTGAGGGGGGTGCTTTGTGTATTGAAACGGTGCGCTGATTTTATGAGGATATCATAGAAAGATGCAATGTTTCAAATTAGTTCATTTTGAAACAGTTTCCAACAGAGAAGAACTATCATCCGAATGGTTAGCTTGTCAGAATCCTAAACAACTGCAAAGGATATTTTGATGGGAAATGTCTGGCAATCTCAGTAGATGATGCTGTCAGTTTTGCATACAGTGTGTTCCCAAAGAGGAAGATACTGCTAATGCTGCATCCTCCCTGGGTCTGTATTGCACTGTTCAACTTCATCCTGGCTTGTCAGCAGTGTAGGGCTGCTGGAGGAGCCTGTGCACAGGTATGCCTGATGTCTGACCTAACTGTGCACAGCCACTGGAGTGTTGTTTTTGGGAACTAGACAGGAGACAAGTGAGCAGGGAGTGAGTGGCAAGTAAACGGGCAGAATTCATAGGACCAGCTGGATTATTGTTGGATAAGATTTATTTTTATTTTCTTTTTTTTCCCTTGTATCCCTGCAGTGTGCAATGAGATTGATCAGTGGCCGCCTCCTGTGCCAGGGCAGACTTTGAACCTTCCGGTGATGGGAGTTGTAATCCAGGTACTTGTGGTGATTTATTCTCTAGCCGCAGACTGAGACAAACTGGAAAGACATTTATTCTGTTCCCTTCTGGATGTTAACATTGCTTTTGACTCTAGATGCTTTCCCTTTACCCCTAAGGTCTGCACAATTAGAACTGATAATTGAAGAAGCTTTCTTAAGCTGTTGGGGAAAGCAAAGTGTGTGTGTGCATTAGCTGAATCCCTCTTCCTGGATAACCTGTCTGTTCTTATTTGTAATCCAGGTGAGAATCCCGTCCAGGGTAGATAAGCCAGGATCAAGCCCAGTGAAGCAATTTAATCAAGAGGTGAGATAAAGTGTGGGATGAAACAAGGCAGTGATGGGCAGAATCTAGATTACTAAGTAAGGAGGGTAGAGAAGAAATGGAGCTCTTTAGACCTTGTTCCATTTGGAGCCATGCTTGCCTGGCATTGGTGGAGTTTTAAGTTAGTTTTTTTAGCTCAAACTGCAGCACTCTCACACCTGTCTTTCAAAATGGGAACCTCTGCACAGAATTTAAGCGTGCTTTAAGTTATCTGTCTGTATGTCTGTCTGTCTATTTTTTTTTTCCACAGTTTCAGTTTGTTTACCTTGCATTTTCCAGGAGTCCATGTATAGGTAGACCTCCACGAGATCCTACCTTAGTCTTCTAGATGACTTGGCAGCTTTTGCCATCTCAACATCTTTATAGCTTTAGCTATCTTGATTCCTGTTCATTTCATCTTTTCCCTCTCCCCCTCCCTTTGAATAACATTGTCACCTTTCACACGTTTTCACACATTCTGAATTTTTGGCACCCACAAAACCAAGCCCTTAGTCTTGCTTCCATTTACTAACAGATTTTTTCTTGCTCATTTAGAATCTGTTACCAGCCCCACTGGTTCTCCCCAGTATTCATGAACTGGATCTCTTCAGGTGAGAGCTAAGATCCCTGAAACATTCTTCTGCCCATCTGCTTTCCCTCCACCCCATTCTGAGTATCTTCTAGATCACTGGGGCAGTGAAGACATCAAATGAGGGTTCAAGAGTTTTTGCTCTTTAGAGTGTTTTTCAGAATAGTTTGGAGTCCTGGCCTTGCAAGGCCCGGGCAGGGTTTAGACCTATGTGCACTGGCCTTAATAAATCCACCTGGATCGTGGTTAGAGGAGACTTGGTTGGTTGGTTTGTTTGTGTGTTTTTTCTTGACCTCAGCTGGCAATCTGCTTAAGTACTGAAACATACACGTTGTGCTTCTGAATCAAACTTCTCAGCACTATAGATGCTGTTCTAGTAACCATGTATCTGTTCTAATTCTCATGCACTTTATTTTGCTCAGATAAAACAATATTACTGAGAGAAATATGGTCCACGTGTTGCTTTACGTTGCTTAGAGCACTTCCTTCAGCATGCATAAAAATGGTTGAGTGTCAGCATGCATAAAGATACATGCTGTTCTGTTTGCAAGATTCTAAAACTACATCCCAAATACAATATCAAGATAGAGGCAAATCTGGATATGCTGGTGTGAATTCCTCTAGAGTCCAGTCTTTTCTGGACTGCACTTGTAACCTCAACTGGTCGTTCCTCCCTTCACCACCAGGTGTTTCCAGCCAGTGCTAATTCATATCCAGATGTTATGGGAGCTGATGTTACTGGGAGAGCCAATTGTCGTCATGGCACCGTCCCCAACAGTGTCTTCAGAAATGGTTCTGGCACTTACCAGGTAATGCCCGTGAATTCTGAAATAACTGTAATACGTTCTGGCAGTTCTCTTTCAGAATCACTCCTCTGCTAAATCAGTTCTCTTAGATTTAGCCTCCCTACGAAAGCATGCAGGGGAGGGCTCAGTGGCAGATCGAGGGGTCCACAGCTCAAATGCAGGTGCCCTTCTGAGAGCACATAGACCTTAGCAAGCTTGAGGGTGATCCAGAGCTGGGAGGAGTGGCTGATACCCCGGAGGGTCAGGCTGCCGTTTGGAGGGTCCTGAACAGGCTGGAGAAACGGGCAGAGAAGCAGCTCCTGGAGTCCTGCTGAGGCCACAGCAAGAGTGCTGGGTCCAGGGTTGGGTTCCCCAGGACAAGAGAGACGTGGAGCTGCTGGAGCGAGTCCAGGGACGGCCCCAGAGAGGAAGAAGGGACTGGAGGATCTCCCGTGCAGAGAGCCTGAGAGCTGGCAAAGAGAAGGCCCAGGGGGATCTCAGCAAAGTTTATGAGTATCTGGAAGGATGGTGCAAAGAGGATAGGACCAGACTCTTGTCAGTCGTGCCCTGTGACAAGGGAGAGGCAATGGGTCCAAACTGGAACATGTTAACTTCCAGCTCAGCACAAGAAAGAGCTTTTTTACTGTGAGGGTGCCTGAGCGATGGAACAGGTTTCCTGGAGAGGTAGTGGAATCTACACTCTTGGAGATATTTAAAACCTGCTTGGACAGGGTCTTGGGCTCCAGCTGATCCTGCTGGAGCAAGGGGGTTGGACCGGATTGTCTCCAGAGGTGCCTTCTAACCCAAACTGTTCTGTGAATCTCTGAAGAAGCAGCATAGCAACAAAGTATTGTTTGTATCCCATTAACGATAGGAAAAGGGAGTCTCTGGCAGGACAGATCACTGTTCTAGATTATTAATTTGATGCAAAATCACATCCTCTTCTATGAACTTTATAAGGAAACTATTCTCTCCACATGTTCTTACAGTTGTCTTGCTCCGCTAAAGTACTGCTGTGACTACCGTCCCTATTTCACAATCCACGACAGTGAATTCAAGGAGTACACCACCAGGACACAAGCTCCGTGAGTAGCCAATAGAGCCTTGCTACCCTCTTGCCACCATCTGTGTGAAGGAAACCGTGTGGTTAATAATGTCCAGATCTGTGGTTTTTTCTCTTTCTAGGCCAAACATTGTTGTGGGAGTCACAAACCCTTTCTTCATCAAAACGCTCCAGCACTGGCCACACATCCTTCGGGTTGGGGAGCTCAGAATGTCAGGTAAGGGGGGCAGCCGAGTCCTGCTGCGCTGCTGGGCCTCGTTGCAGGTTAGCAGCGAGCTGACAGCTGCACTGCTGGCACTTGTTTTCTGTGTCCTCATTCCTGGGAGAACTGAGAAACCAAAGAGAAGCTTAGACTGAGCTGGTTGGCCTGCGAGCTCAGCGTGAGCGGCGGTGAAGGCAAGGAGTTGGGGAGATAATTTGCTGTGATTTTTATGAAGCACTAAGGAAAGGAAAACACTTTCTGTTCAGAAAAGAGAAAATTGCAATGACAAAAAACGGATTTGAGAGCAAGATTCCGATCATTAACTACGAAGCGAATAAAACTGCCCGGCTTTGGGCCAAATACTGGGTTTCTTTTGCAGTGACTCCCTATCTCTTTCCTTTCAAAACTTTAGAGGAGAGTTGTCAGCTAACGAGACTCGTGAGGATGAAGTTAAGGGAGGACGTGATTTAAGATGTTGAAGTGTAGCAGTGGATGCTCCCGGTTGCAAAGTCCCTCGTGTGCAGGCTGTGGCTATGAGGATAGATTCAGAGTCTGAACTATGTGATATGGGGTTTTTCCACAGGAGACCTGCCCAAGCAAGTTAAAGTGAAGAAGCTAAACAAACTAAGAACTCTAGACACAAAACCAGGTAATTCCTTTTGTCAGACAGAATTTAATTTTGTTTACCTTCACCTGGGGGGTTTAGGATGCCTCGCAGGCATGTGAACGTAGCATGCCTTGCTCTTTGTGTGTAAACACATGGACGCTCTGGTATTGTTTCCTTCTCACGCTACGTGCTGCTGTGTGATGGCATCCACCACCCGATGCAGAAAAGCTGTGCATCTTTGTTCTGAAAGTGGAAAGCATTTGTAAATTGTGCACATTATTTTCGTGCTGGGAAAGGAATGATAACTTTCTTTTTTTGTAATTATATATATTTTTAAATGTGATGGGAGTGAAAGGAACTTGCTAACCTAGATACACCCATCTGTCACTGAACTAAGTGCTCAGTTCAGACCTAGCCTGAAGCTGCCTGCAGCAGTTAGCTCACCCTAAGCACGGGATAGGAGGCTCATGGGCTAGCTCAGAGCCCTTGAACCTGCGCTGAGTTCTGGCTGCATTTGCAGCTTTATGATCGTGGGAGGCCTTAGTAATTGACCCCTCCACACTCACCTGGCAGCTCTTACACACAGTTTCAGATCTGTCATCCCTGGACTGTGTAATGATGCCTCTTCTAAATGTATGGGCAAAGATGTACGTCTAACTTCTGGGATTTGTTTTTGTTTGATTTTCTTTTTTAATCTAGGAATCTACACTTCTTATAAAACATTTCTTCACAAAGACAAAGCCCTGATAAAAAGATTATTAAAGGTAAGCATTTCTAACTCTACCCCACGTCCTCTATATCATTAGGGGGAAATTATGCTTGGTTTGAACAGCCAAAACCCTCCAGAAGGAGCAGACTTTTCTTCAACTTGATATCTTTTGTTTCAGTTTGATTTTAGTGAGTAATTTGATTTCAGAGTGTAATTGTTTAGTCCAGTATACTTGAACATATTTGTCGTATTATTTTTTTAAACTTTTCACTTGATACCATGGGTTAAACCCTGGAGCTATGGTAACACAAGTGAGAGCAACCCATGTCAAGAAAGAGCCTGAAAACCCAGGTTCTTGTGCTGCGAGGTGAGCGGCAGCCCCAGGGCGGGCACAGAGGGTTCTTGTGCAGCTGCTGCGGGCTGGTTGCTGCCGCTGCGGCGCTCGCGAGCGCTGCGCCCCGTGACCGCCCTGCCTGTGTCCGCAGGGGATCCAGCGGAAACGCCCGTCCGAAGTGCAGAGCGCCCTGCTGAGGCGGCACCTCCTGGAGCTCACCCAGAGTTTCATCATCCCGCTGGTAGGTTGAGCAGGGACGTGTCAGCGCGGGGCAGGAGCTGCCGAGCGACGCGTCTGCGCTCGCCCGCGCTCATCCCCCCTTCCTGAGCATCACAAATAGAGTCACGTGGGGCACACCGGAGATGTTTCGCTCCTTGGAAAAGAATAAACGTGTCTCTTGATGGCAAATTTCTGCAGTTAGCATAGTTAGGCTAGTTGGTTATTCAGCACTTCATGTATAAAGATAGAATCATAGAATCACAGAATGCTTAGGGTTGGAAGGGACCTCTAGGGACCATCCAGTCCAACCCCTGCACACGCAGGGTCACCTAGAGCACGTGGCACAGGACTGCGTCCAAGCGGGGTTGAAGATCTCCAGAGAAGGAGCACAGAGAATAGAGCACTCTTGTTTGTTTCCTGCAGTGCAGAAATGGTTTTTCCCTGTGATTTGTTTCTAATGGCTAATTCTTGGCACAGGGTAGCAAAGCAGATGTATAGGGAAGGCACAGGACCCCCGGGACATGTCTCTTCTGCTGCTAGGTTGGAGTTAAACTCACTGCCAGGATGGAACTCTCTCTTCTGGTTCTGCAAAACTCTGCTATAGAGCATGAGAGGCTTGTCCATGCAGTGAGAACCATCCTAAGGCAGATTTTTTTTTTTACAAAAAGCTTTCTTTCAAGCTTCCTTTTGATGATTGTCTAGCTGGGCATGTTAGTCTCTCCACTTCCTTCTTTTTGTCACCTTATGGGGCAGTAAATGGGCTGACAGAGCATCCAGACTCCAATCCCTCCTGCTGCCCCCTTCCCACCTGAGCTCTTGTCCCGCGCCTGCCTGGAGCCCTTGCAGGACACAGTGTCCTGACCTGGCTCCCGGGGGAAGGAGCAGGCTGGAAAGCTGAGCTCCAGGTAAATGATCCGCGGATGTACAGGGAAAGTGAGACAGAGCAGGAAGCTGCGCCGTGGTGCATCAGAGACGACCCTGACACTCAGTGACGCTGCGAGAGGCTTCCTGATTGCTCTAACATCTCTTTTTTGGTGTTTCTTCTCAGGAGCATTATATTGCAAGTCTGATGCCCCTGCAGAGGGCCATTACTCCATGGAAGGTATGCTCAGCTTTGCAGGCTCTTGCGCTTCCTTCTGACTGCAGGGATTGGGAATAGTTACATCACATGCTGGTCACATACCCTGGCAGTCTGTGCGAGCTTCCCTCAGTGAAGGGAGAAAAAAAATATTAACTTGAAACAAACACTGGGACAGATGCTTCCTGTTTGGCAGTAATTTTAGCTCACCCCTGCTATTGTCTCTAATTTGAATTTTGCTAGCGTGGCACATTAAGATTTTCATGTGTTCTCATATTTATTGAATCTGTCTTTCAAGCATTCTCATAGTTACTGAATCTATCTTGAGCAGCCTCTTCCCTTGTAAATATAAACCTGATTTCCACCCCTTTCCTTAGGCTGCTGTGTAATACGCTCTTTGTGTTGTGCAGAATCCCCCGCAGATCCGTCCGTTCCGACAAGAAGATTTCATGAAGACCCTTGAGCATGCAGGTCCCCAGCTCACCTGTGTGCTCAAAGGAGACTGGTTAGGCCTCTACAGGTAAGAGCACGGCAATTACTTGCTTTATTCCCTTACAGCAGCTCCAGGTTATAATGAACATCAAATCCTGAGTTCCACTCAGCAGTAAAAAGGGAATTTTAGGACAAACATCAGTCACCTGAAAAAAATAATGCCTTGGAAGAATTGATTCAGTAGTAATAGCCAGGGAGAGTAAATAAAGGGCAGTATCAGTCCTGTATTTTATGTAATCTCGTAAATGAGTAGCTGCAGTCGGGATTAGAAGCTGTAAACTCTCCTGCTTCTAGAACATCAACTCGCCCTTCGCTGAGGCAGGGGATCCCTTGCTGCAGGTCGGGACTTACTGATACCAGCTGCTGTTTATTGTCCTCCAGGGAATCTTGTTCCAAGTTTCTGGCCCTTGTGAGATGGGGCAGAGGGATGTGGAATGGTCCTGTGTGCTTGTACAGCGTCTCGTTCTGACTGCAAACAGGCAGGTTTTCAGGGTGGAATTTAATAGAGCCTATAGAAGAGTCTGCCCATAGTTCTCCTAAAGGATAATTAGATACGAGTAGCACAGACACTCCTTATAGTATGAGTGGGAAAAATCCAGGAAGCAGATATCTACCCAGAAGGCAAAGAGAGAGATGCACTGATGTGGCAAGTGAAAACAACCATACCGGGAGCAGAGAAGGAGCATGGATCAGTGCATTGTGTAGCTGTAATTTGTGCCATTTTCCTTAATGTGCTCAGCAGAAAGCCAGCAGTTCCACTCGGCATGGGTGCGGCAGGGAGATTTAATTTTGGATATCTAGTATTTTGGAAAATAGTAACAAACAAGATTTTTTTTTTTAATAAGTTGGTTGAATTCTGCAGGGAGCTGATGTACAGGGAGGGTCTTATGTATCCCAAGGTTCCAAACTGTGTGGAATTGTGTACATTTGTATGGCATCTTGCATCCTCTCATCCTCATCCGCTGCCAAACCCTCTCCAAGGTTCCAAACTGTGTGGAGTTGTGTACATTTTACAACTTGTTGTAATTCCTGAGTCAAACCCTCAATTAAAAAAAAAGGCAGTCTGTATCACAGCAGCATTTTGAGATTTTGGCTGAGATTGAGACTCCACCGTGCAGGGGAGAGAGCCAGCAAAAGAGTGCTCAGAGTTGCCAAAAGAAACTTTCCAAACATCAGCGAAGTTCTGCTGATAACGTGTCCTCAGCAGACAGCCTGAGCGAGAGGGATGCCGGGATGGGCCAGCCCGGACAGCAGGGAATGCTGGAGTGCATCCGAACCCCCCGGTGCCCATGGGGGACGGTCCTTCACCGCGCCTGTGCCCTAGCTCCGTATGGCATCTTGCATCATCTCATCCTCATCCGCTGCCAAACCCTCAGCTTCCAGTTGACAACTTGTCGATCCCAGTCTGAGTTTGGGCTGGGATCCTATAGCACGGAAGTCAAGTGGGTGTTGTGCTGTTCGCTGTTCACTTCCACGCTTGCACCGGTAAAACCAAGCTCTGTGACTGCGTACTGCACTGGAGAGGTCTAAGGTCCATGTCCTGTGACCTACCTGATACCTTGCTGGTGTAGCAGAAGTGTAAATCACCACTTATATGGAGCTTGGATCAATGCCAGCGAGAGGTAGGAATATCCAGAGAGGAGCCGAGCAGGATACTGCGGAGGAATGGGAATTTCCGTCCGGGGTTCTGCCTTCCGCAGTGTTGCAGCTCCACGGAGAGGCCGTGCTAAGGCTGCTCGCAGGGGCTGGCGCTGGGGCTGCTGCCCGGGAGGGGGCAAAACTGGCAGCATCGCCCCTGAGCAGCGACGAGCTGCCCCGGGCTAGTGCTGGCCACAGCGGGGGCCTCTGGAGCGGACGAGGTGCAGACAGAGCTCGTGGGCTCGTCGGCGTTCCCGGCCCTGGCCACACTGGGAGTCGGACTGGCTTCTCTCGCACTGCTGTAGTGGAAGGGACGCTGGTGTGCAGCGGAGTCACCGCGCTTCCCTGCGGCCCTCTGTGTCCCCTTCCCAACGTCCCCTCGCTTCCTGCAGGCGTTTCTTCAAGTCGCCCAACTTCGACGGCTGGTACCGGCAGCGGCACAAGGAAATGACGCAGAAGCTGGAAGCCCTGCACTTGGAAGCGATCTGCGACGCGGTACGTCCCGGCTGCACCGGTCCAACCGGGGGGAAGCCGGGGAGATGAGGGCACTGCCACACTGATGCCTCCTGGCCCTGCATGATCCAGCTCTGCCATTGCTGCCGTCCCTGGTTCTTCCCTTGCAGGCAGGACTACGATGCTGCCGTGGGGCTGAGCGCTCCGTCCTGCTCGTTTCGGCTCTAACGAGGCTCTGCAGGCAGAGCCGGGAGAGGTTTCGCCTGCCGGCTGCGCTTAGGTTCTCCGTGAGAAAGGTCCTGTAGAGAAGGACCATCCCTGAACACAACTGTCTGTCTCTTTCTTTAGAACATTGTGGCCTGGATGAAGGACAAGTCGGAGGTGGAGATTGTAGATCTGGTGCTGAAGCTTCGTGAGAAGCTGGTAGGTTCCCCTTCCTTCTTCCTGCGCTCCTTCCTTCCTGGCCCTGCCTCGGTGGCAGGGAGTGGTTAGGGGCATAAATCACACTTGGTGCCAAGAAAACTTGGTTTCTGCTCCCTGTTTTGCAGAACTGGCAAATGGGAGTCATGAAATGTTGGTCTTTGCCTAAAAGAAGCCTCTAGGTTTTGCCTCTTCTCCTTTCATTAAGGCTCAGGTGCCAATTTCCTGCCCGCTGTCTCCTACCCTGATTAACGAGGCACCACGAGGGCTGCGCAGGCAGGGGCAGAGCAGAACGAGGTGTTTGGGGCTGTTTAAAACCCCTCCCTCTTCCCCGCAGGTCAGAGCCAGGTGCCAGCACCTCCCGGTGAAGGAGGAGACGCTGCAGAGGGTGGCCCTGTACATCGACACCGTCATCGGCTCCTTGCCCGAGGACCTGCAGGCGGTGCTGCGCCACCCCTGAGCGCGCTGGCAGCGCCGTCCGGAAAGGAAACCCCTTCCCTGACGTCAAGCGCGCGGCCCGGAGCCGTGCTGGAAGCGGGGCAGCGCCTGCACGCTCCTGCTTTGGGAACGGGGCAAAGCCGCCGCCTCCGGAGCTGCGTCGGGAGCAGCGGGTCGG